TAGGCCCGAGGTGCTTTTCGCTAAAAAAGCGAGGTGACATTTATTGAATTCCCGGCCTTAGGGCTGGAAGGTGTTTCCCATACCTGCCAAAAAGCTCACAACTATATGAAAGTGACGTCAGCAGCCGTGTGGTTCAACGTGTTTAACCACACCCCTTGAACCACACGGCTGGTAATATTAAAGCATTGCATTAAACTTTGAAAAGTGTGGTACAGTGCACGTGCCGTTTAAATGCCTGGATGTCTCGATTTAATCATGCAATGTAGCAGGTATGGGAAATTACGGATCCGGTGTGAACCACGCATAAGATAACAATTCAGACCTCAGGCTGTGCAGTGTGCAGTGTGTAGGTACTGTACACTGTGAACAGTGCAGTGTGATGAGACGAGAGGCTATAATATATTATATGATATAATAGACACGTTCCCTAGGAATCATTTGATCATTTTTTTTTCGTGGTTATGTTTTTCTTTCTTCGGCCAATTTTGACTGTATTTGTGGTTATTGAGTGTTCGATGTTTGTTTATTAAAAATGTCGTATAATTCACAATGACTGATTCTTTTATGATTTGCGTTATGATGACGTAAGGTGCCGTACCTATGTGTTGTGTTCCCCGCCTCAGGGTCCGTTGAAGACGTTTTACTGCTAAATGCGACGAACGAAACATTTTTTCCTTAGTAGGCAGGTACTGCAAAACGACTCGAAACATGTGTATACTCGTATAAAGTGTTGATGCCTACACTTTTAATAGATTCAAAGCTGTGCCTTCTTCTAGATATCTCGACTCTCGTCACGCTGCTGGCTTAGACCGAATTGGAGCCAGCCACAGCCGGTTCTAGCTTGGCACGTCGCTTGCCTCACCTAATCTAAATAAATATGAATTGACTACGGGGAGATACTCGTATACTGTGCTACACTCCTCACTATTTTGTGTGTGCTTGGCACAGTGCAGTGATCTGAACTTCATCTTCATCGTGTTCATCAGCTACTTGGAAGCTCGGACACAGCGTATGTAGAGCAAAGAAGTAAGAACATTCACTGGTGAAAGCCCCCTTCCACCCACACACGCTCGGGTCGATAGACATTGGGCAGTAAGGAAATATTCTAAACATTCTATCTGCAAAGCACGAAGGACGTGGCTTATGCAACAGTCGCCACAGCAACCAAGGTTGAACGAGTGGTCACCCTAGCAGCCAGCCTCTCTGACAATCTTTGTTCCGAAGTCCGCCTGTCTGTGAGAGTCACGGGTCGACGTGCAGAGGCACGGCCGCTGAGGCGCGCCTCCGGCGCCGGGCGAGCGGGAGTCACCGTGACCGGGCACATTCAATGAACGTTCCCGAGCGCTCCGGAGCCAAGCCGACCGCGCGGACTGCGGGGTGAATCAATGGACGTGCAGGGACACGCTCGGCAATGTCGATGAAGACGTGAGGACTAATGATAGCAGCTCTAAAGCAGCAGGGGCTTGGCTCACATTGGTTAACATCGCATATATGTTTCACAGCGTAACTTGTTTGTTATGTAACTTCGAAACCCCATTGTCCATTGGCACGAGTGGATATGGCAAGGTTCATTTTTACTGAGAACCTAGGCAAGGGAAGTCTGCAAAACCTAGATTGAGAAACGGTGCCTCTGATATGACGAACAGCTCTAATGAAATGTAACGTTTAGGTTTAGGAGACGAGGAAAACTAAGTTTTGACATATGTCTCCAAATATATATGTGCACGCAAACTATGGCCGCAATTCTATAGCCTCAGTTGAACTAAACGAACATGTACAAACAGTACACACCGCAATCCGCAGCATATAGGGCCTCTAACCTGAGTGAAAAGTCGAGCACACCGATAACAACAGTACTAAGGCCAGTATGTCTGCCTTTGTCAGCACAAAGCCACGCAGGAAAGGAGGACGGGCGAGGCGACGACCCTCGTCGTTATTGTTACATAATGCAGACAGGTGACGGTACTCGAAAGTACGTTCAGAATAAAGTATAGTTAGTACGAGTACGAAGGTTACGTAGGTACGTAATGTGTTCGTTTGTGTTTCGTCCTAATAATTACGAGCTGTCATCACGACGATTAATGTCATCAACGAGCATCTTCATCGTCTGTCAGCCCGTGTCTTTGTCAAACAAACAGTGGAATTTATTTCAACAGAATACATTATTCCTAAGGCGCATCAACGTTCACGTGTTGAACGCGATTGTTGAACGCCTACGTGTGACGCTGGGTATCGCTGAACCTGACGCAACTCTCGGTGGCCGACGAAATAAAGCCACGTCACAGTCACGGCAGCCTGGCCTGGCCCTGACAGCCCGTGAACCGTGAACCATTAGCAGAGGCGCCCCCAGGCCTTCCGCAGGGGAGGCGCTGAACTCTATGGTTTCTTTGCTGAATATTTTGACCGACTGCTGCAGTAACTGGTCGATCATTAAATGTATTTTGACTTTTGAGTGTTATCTACACAGCACATAGGTTGTAATTTGTCTAAATTGTGGAAGGTGGAAATTTCATTAGTGACTAAACAACAAACAAAACCTTTTTCTTTTATAATTCATATTCGCAAAAAATGTGAATTGCACAATATGCATTTAGTACTGATGCGCGACGAGAAAATTCGAGTTTGATCCGTAGGTTATTTGCTATGGTAGGTATGTTTCACCTCGTGCATGTTAACCCGCGCCCCGCTGGGCTATTCAGCCATACGCGCCCTGCTGGGGGGGGGGGGGGAGGGGGGGCAGATTCTGCCACCCCCCTGTCTAACTTCCGAACCGATGGTCGTAGAAAGACGGGGAAAACGGCAATCGAAAGCTCTCAACAAGGCGGATCTTAAGAGCCCAATTTTTTTTGCTTAAGTAGGTCAGAGGTCAGGTCAAGGTCAGGTCAAGGGTACAAAATGCAAGTTTCTACAGTATCGGCCTTGCACCGTAGTTGCCGAAGAATGGACTGAGACTGATTGCCCAAAACGTGTTCTTAGACTACCAAGACAATATTCGTTGCACACAATGTCATTCAAAGGTCAAGATCAAGGTCAGGTCAGGTCAGGTCAGGTCAGGTCACCAAAAACAAAATATAGAAAAGGGCATGTGCGACACATGTTTTATGGGTCGTTTTACTCATGGAATTCAACAGGCACACTCAATAAGTGATATGGACCACCTCTGAATGAAGTTCAGGTCGAGGTCAGGTCAAGGTCAGGTCAAGTGAGGTCAAATTTTGAAGTTGGTTGTTAAGGCCTAAAAAAGTGTCTATCCGATGCAGTTTTTCCCGGCGAAGCGAATGGTGCTATTTTTGTTTCCGTACGAGGTCTAGAACTTCAAAAAAAAATCATTTTTCAAAAAATTTGTGTGTCGTGACGTCATAAAATTTTGAATAACTCCCACATTTTTGAACCGATTCTTCTAAAAATTGGTATGTAGGTGCACATGGACCACTTCTTTGACATATATTCCGGTTTTTTCGATAAACTCAAAATTTTGGATTTTATGAATATTTTCCCAAAAAAGGCAGTTTTTTGGAAAAATTTTGGCCAAAATCCAAAATTTTCAAAAAACCGAGATAGCCATTTGATAGACAAAGTAGAATCACGTATAACCTTTTTTTGTTACGTCTTGATTCCTTTAAAAATGAAGATGTTAGTGGCGTTTGAAATTTTGCCGTTTTTGAGGCGAAAATGGCGAACATGACGTCACTAAAACGTCAATTTCTCAAAACATTTCCGAAGGATTTCGCTCAAATTTTCAGGGAACGTGTCAAATTGATGTATGATAAGGTACTGAAAGTTTGACGTCGCTGGCGTAACGCGTTTAGAAGTTATTGGCGAAAAACGGGAGGGGGGGCAGATTCTGCCCCCCCCCCAGCGGGGCGCGGGTTAAAGTGCCGGTTTTTAAAAGCTTTCAACTGAGGAAAAATCACTACAGTACCTAACGCTTCTTTTTTCTTGTCGTCTAAAAAACATTCTTGTCTGTAAGACACATATATCCCGCGCACCGACGGGGGGGGGGCGGATATCCGCCCCCCCTGAGGTTTTTCGCGAATAGCGGGAAAACCGCGGCGCGTAGCGCCGCGAAATTTGGTATGACTATTCCCTCATCAATTTTACACATGGTGTGCAAGTTTGAACCTCCTACCTTTTAAGGTCAGGTCACCAGGTCACTTTGAATGACCCAACCTCAAGTCACTTTTTTGCAACTTTGTCACCGTGCCAGAGCTACAGTAGATGTCGGAGGCCTTTGAAAGTCGCAGGATATTATTAGGTCATTAGTAGCTACAATTTGTATATCTCAGAATTTTGATATCGGTGACCTAAGGTCAGGTCAATTTCGCGACCTCCCCATTATAAGTCAATGGGGGAAAAATCAACTCCCTGTTTTTACCACTAAAACGGGTTGGAATGGCCCCATATACCATACATGACTTCATATACGATCGACCTTCACTACCTTGAAGTCTGTTTTGCTGTTGGGCAGCTGTGAGGTCATGTGACGTCATCAAAGGTCACCAAAGGTTTTTGGCCAATAACTCCGTACAGGAACAAGATACAGACGCGTGGGTGGTCTCATTGTGTTCAGCTCGTCAAGACGCATCGAATGATATGCATGATGACCTCGAGGTCACGTGACCTGAGGTCAACCTTTGACCTTGACCTTTCGAGGTCAACATATATATCATTCGATGCGGATTGACGAGAGGATCACGATGATGCACTTAGTTTGTTCCTATCTTGACTAATTCGAAAGTTATTCGAGAAAACTCTCTCCATATCTAGCGCCGCCATTTTGACTTTTTCGACCCCTGTGACGTTATCTTTGACCTGACCTGAAAATGACCTTAGTAAAAATTGTAGATCTTGACCGTGCGTATCCGATGCCGTTTACCGCTTGTCGCTATCTTGCTTCGTTCTCGAGATCTCAGGGGGGGGGGGGCGGTCATCCGCCCCCCCCCCGTCGGTGCGAAGTTGGCGCAGACCCCCGTCGGTGCGCGGGATATTGGGCAGTTATCTAGTGAAGTTACTGTATTTGGCACATCCCGAATTCACAAGCTCATCACATGTCGCACACACTTGCCATCAGCACCATAACTTTACAGAGAGCACACATTGGTGTCGGTTTGAGGAAACCGTGAATTACAAACAAGATAGGCACACAAGACCAAGTTTAGTCCAACCGGTGTTAAGTGTTAACGGTTATCTATTTTTCAGTATTATTTACTTTTTTACAATTGACGCCCTTTCCTTCAACACGACAAAAACAGGAACACCTCAACATGAACATATAAAATTAGGAAGACAACCTATGTTACTAGGGCACATTTGTGCCAATTACATTTCCGAACCAATCGCTTCACCGTCATTTGTAAAATTGTGGAAAACGAAACGCTTGAATGGAAATAGCATGTAGCTGTTTGCTTAAAACAACCTACAAATACCCTTGGCAAGTTCAAATAATATGTCCTTCACACAATATATACCTATCTATGATCACGACACTTGACCATTAATTACATATATGACTTAGAACCCACACTCATATAGTCATGTCGAAGCTATTCTCACGTCTACCGCAGTGAACACCGAACAGTCTCGATTTCACTGCTGTGGCACCTTTGCTCACCACCGCATCACTGGCGCTGCCTGCAGCTCACAAACACACGAAGACTAGTTCATCGAACAACGTCTCTGCTTCAATGACCAGAACACAGCTCGCTTTGTCATGAGAAACGTTCTGAGGGATGAGTCCCGAACTCGGAACGGGCCAAGTCTGAGCTCCAGGAGCCTGATGACGAGCCGTCATTGACGAGGGACTCTGTTTGACCCATGGGTCTGCCCCACCGGTACCCTTGGGAGGTCCGTCCGTACCACAGTTCTCTCTCAGCGTTCATCACACGGGAAGGTCCGTCTCCTCGTCTTCGTCGCTCTCACCCGCGTCCACAAACTCGCCGGGGGCAGAGTCGCTCGACTCGAGTCTCGTCCGGCCCACTCGACCGGGCGAGCAGCGGCTGCGTCTCCATCGGTAGAGCACCCAGCCGAGCAGAAGGCCCACCGCCGCGAGCGCCGCCGCGCCGGCCGCCGCCGCCTGCCACCACTCAGCGCCCTCTGTGGAGTGCACCTGCACACAGCGGCGCAGCGGCGGCGCAGAGGACGCCACCGTCGCGCCGGCGTCCACCACCCGTGAGCTGTCGGCGGCGATTGCGGAGTGGTATGGTTCCGTGGAGCACACCCGTACCGTACCCGCTCCCACAGCTGCCCATAGTGTCACACGCCGTACCGCACAGGACGCCTCCACGGCTGAGAGGGGTCCGCGCGGCCCCAGTACCACCACAGTCACGGCGCAGTGTTCTAAAGCCTGACCCTCCTCAGGGGTGACGCTCAGATGCGCCGCTACTCGACCTCCAGAGGCCACCTCCGCAGATAAACTCTCCAGCCGCGGAAGGGTCGCTGGAGATGGAGTCAGCTCTGCCCACTGACACACAGAGGGCAGAGGCAGCTCCACACCAGAGAGCAACTGCCTCAGGGTGACGCAGAACTGGTACCGCTCGCCGGCCGACAGGTCCACCGACCGCAGCGCCACCTGTAGCTCGGTCGGATCGGTTGACTCGAGCGCTTCACACGGCTGAGTAGTGTCGGGTCGCGACGCTAGCGCCACCTGGTCACAGTGGTACGGAGACAGGCTGGGTGCCACACTCCATCGGAGTCGGACTCCATCGCCACCGGGAGTCAGCTGGGCAGACTCCAGCCGGATGACGTCATCCGAGACGGAGTCGGAGTCGGAGTCGGGTGGGCCGGTCGGAGGCTCGCGACAGGTCAGCTGATCGCGTTTGAGGTCCACCTGAAGCAGAGGTGGGATAGGGAAATTCAGTAAGCTTTAGTTAGACGGAAGACTACTCGCTAGTCATACACATGAGGAAGCAGACGAGTGAGGTTGGACACTTCAGTCAGGCTTCACCGTTCCGTGCTTCTATCCTCAGGATACTGAAATCCTTCTCCTCCACGCCGCAACCCCCTCCGGGCTGGACAGGCAACTTTATCTCATGCGGGCTGCTCCCTTGGAGCGGCACCGCTGCTCCCGAGGGAGCGCACCCCGTAGCCGGGTGCAGTGAGTGCCTTGGGGCTGGGTGGCCTGTCCTCTGGACGGGCTCAGCCCCGGCGACTCACTAGGGTGCCTGCCCAGACCAATGTCTCCCCCTGGCCTATATCCTATCATCCTCCCGGCTCTGAAATGGTCTTACTGGACCGAAAAGGGCCTAACCCAACAAAACAAAAACAAAAACAACAATCAGTCAGGCTTGGCAGACGAGGGCTAGTACAGACACTGTGACTGTGCAACAGAGTGGACGCCGACAGCGATGGGGTTTAGAGCGTGTATTGTCTTGTTTTGGGCACATTTTGGCCCAAATCAAACATTGCACGACCCTGGGACACGAAGGACACGCTAAGGCTAGTCAGTCAGTACTGCATAGTCCTGCCCACACACTGGGAAGCTGATAAGAAAAGTGTCCAATGCAAGACTCGAGGCTGTACAGACCCGAGTGACCACCGATGCGGGGAGTTACCATCGTATGCACTGTGACCATCGTGCCCGTCAGTGTACATTACATAAATTATCGTGACCGGCTTAGTAAACAGCAGAGAGGTGCGGTGTATGCCAGTGCAATCGCGTCACTTTGAGTTCAGAACAAACAGCTAACTACCATGTCGAAATCGGGCCTCAATGTTCAGTTTTTCCTTGTTAGCTTTGCCAATATTATCATAAGTCCAACGATACGTTATTTATTGTGCATCGAATGATAAAAAGACCGGCAGTGCAGACTGCACCGTCGCTATTTAACTCACTTCGACCTTTAAAAGTCAGACAATTGATCTTAAATTCTCCTACTTGTAACATATAATCGATATAATTGCTAAGCAATTAAGCATGTTGTGCCAGTTGCAACATTGCAACGCAATAACGAATGATTGAAACTCATGCAAAATACGATCTCGTCAAGGTCCTTTAGTTCTCGTCAAAAGTTGTTTAATGCGCGTTACAAGCAAAGGGAAGGCATGCTGCATTACCAAACAGGGAGGTGTTTTCTCTATGGCACTTTGGTGTTACACACTAGCTGGACCTTTTCTATTTCCATGGGTGTTACGTACCAGAGGGACATTACCTACCACAGAGGCGATCTCTATCACCACTAGTAAGACGTAACGTGCGTATCAACGGGACGTTATCCATTGCGGTGGGAGTTACGAACCAGAGGGGCATTCTCTATTATTATGGGCGCTACGTACCAGGGGCTTTCTCTATTGCTATGTTGTTATATACCAGGGACTTGCTCCAGATTATACTGGCATTGCGTCCCAAGGGACGTTCTCTATCGTATCGTCATGTTGTTACGCACAAGCGGAGCGTTCTCTATCAGCACTCGGAAGGGCGTAACGTATCAGAGGATCGTTACGTACCAGCGGTGCGTTCTCCAGTGCGGTGGGAGTTGCGCAGGTGATCTGTCGCACATCCTCGTCCTCAAGCCAGGCGCTGCTGTCGGAGAGGTAGGTGGCCAGCTCCCGCAGTCGGCAGTCGCAGTGGAGAGAGTTCTCTGGAAGAGACGGATGAGAAACGGTCAGAGACACGGCGAGGGAAGTAAAACGTTCTCTGGAAGAGGCAGATTAGAGAGGGGCTGTTAGTGTAAGGGAACGAGAAGCTGTCTGAAAGACACAGATGAAGGACCCTCGGAGACAGCGGAAAGAAAGAGTTCTCTGAAGGTGACAGTCGACAGACCATAGGGAAATCAGAGACATAGCGAGGGGCATTGTTGTTCAGCGCACATCAGAATAACGGAAGAGTAATTGAGGAGGTATGAACGACAGAGCGGAGCACAGAGAACCGCAGCAAGCCACACAAACCGACGAGGAAGGATGCTTCGTTCACAGGTGAAGAGGGTAAATCGTTCAAAAGTAGGATGGGACCCGAGTGAAAGAGAGAAGAGATACAGACAGAGAAAAGTGAGAGAGAGAGAAAAAAGAGGAAGAGAGAGAGGGAGAGAGAGAGAGAGAGAGAGAGAGAGAGAGAGAGAGAGAGAGAGAGAGAGAGAGAGAGAGAGAGAGAGAGAGAGAGAGAGAGGAAGAAAGGGAGGGAGGGAAAGAGGGAGGGAAGGAGGAAGGAGGGAGAGAGGAGGGACACGAAATATACAATTTAAAAGTGCAATAGAACTAAATCATTATCCTAGGTTAACTACTCAGTCATGAGAACCCGTCCCGACCAACCGCTCCACTAATATCGATGACTGATGCGTTTTGAGGTTTCTTAATAGGTTCTGTAATCGTCACTGGGGTTCATTGGAAGTCAGCTCGACCTTGATCCGTCCTACACGGGAGCCCGAAGTGACAGCGCTCACGGAGAGTTTATCTGAAACAGATGTTATCGTGACCACGCCATTAATTACATGGTCGATGGGATTATTGAGAGTCTGAACAGACCTCTAAACTGGGTAGCTGCGGCCTGCTGGCTTCTGGTTATTAGCTCCGACTTATCTTGTCATTTCGTGATAGAGTCTTTTTGGGCCAGATGAGTGTTTCGAAAATCTACACGTTTAGTGGAACAAAGCTGTGCAGGTGTTGGGACATGAAAGATAGGGTCATGAAAGATAGTCGTAGTCTGGTGTGTTGGCGACACACCGGGAAGGGCGTGTTGTTGGCAGTTGCACTAGCATTAGCATTAGCACTTGCATTGGGTGGATAAAATAGGACATGTATTTACAATAGCCGTTTTCACGATGCCTACTTGGTACACATTTGGTTCACATTAGGTGCATATTTGGCACAGATCTGGTCAAATTAGGCTAATTGTGTTTATTAGTCTTCAGTTTGGGTTGCAGAGTTTCTCATATACCCGACCTTTCACATTATCAGACATTACCTTCGATTAAAATACTAAAATGAATAAATATGATATGAAGGTAGGTATTTGTTGAAAAAGAGATTTGGTACAGGTTTGGTCTAGTTTGGTGCTTCGCCAGATAACCCATCGTGAAAACGGCTAATATGTTTACCCAATGTTGGACAGGTCGAAAAAGAAGCCCAACGCTATTTCCAACACAGGAGATCAAATAAATCGACCTTACGCAATGCGAGCCAGATTAAGCTCCCACGTTTATGAACTAAAGGAATACGAAGTTCCTCCGTAGCGATGTTATATAACTTATAATGAAAACTCTGATTACATAAGATATTTTTAGGACGTGATCGGCTTATTTCCAGATAAAAGTCAAAGATCGGTGATTGGAATATGAGATGTTTTGCGTCCCTCATTGCATTTCATTCTTTTTCTAGTTCTTCACACCAAGCGCTCTGCAGGCGTTTTACAAACGAATCCATATTGCCCACACTGCCTGTGGGCCATAGTATGATAATAACCAGCAATGCATTGCTAGCGAAAGAATTGCTTGAAATTCCCGGAGAAATGGAAGTTCGATTCTTGGAATACGATTTGGAATGGTGCAATGACCAAACTTCAAACGTTACTTCGACCATACTAGACTTACTAGCGTAAAAAGCAATAAGTTTCATGCGCAAAATGAGACGAGGGTGGACGAAACGAGGCACGGGTTCCTTTTGGTACCGATGTATTATGATCTGTGCTTCTCTGGGGACATGCTAAATTGACACATCGAACAGCACAATTCACATCAAACTACACCAAACGCTGGTCCGCAATTTCCACCACAGCAACCATCACAGCCATATTCGGAAAATGCGCACCGATCTACCCACGCTTTCGCCATTACACATGTAGTACACATGTTCAAAGGGCCTCTCACTCGATGAATGAAATGCATGTCGGCATTTACATATGGCCCGCCCGTGGCACGGCAGGCAGTGTCGCCGTTGGGTGGCCGCCGCAGCACCCGTCAATGGGTATGCACTGTGGGCGGTGGGCGGGTGCTCCAAGCCGCTCTCCGATATGTATCACTGGTCGGGCGTAGGCTGACGTCCGTCGCTTCAGACCTATCCAATAAACTGCCCAGCCATGGCAGTGCAAGGCCAGAGGAGTGCTGGCGAGGCGGCAGGGCCGGCGCGGCAGCGGCGGCGGGGGCGGGGGCGGGGGCGGGTGAGGACGAGTGGGCGGCGGCGGCCGACCGGACTAGCACCGCTGCTCGGGAGAGAGCGGAGAGAGGGGAGAGAGCCGACCTTCTGAGGGTGGAGTCGCCGGGCGGCAGCGCAGAGACGCACAGATAAGGCTGCAATAACGCCTGATCAACGGACGCGCTCACGAGGGCCCAGTCGAGCCCCAGAGAGGAGTGGAGGGAGGGGTGCGCGCGCCACACACACGGAGAGAGAGAGAGAGAGAGAGAGAGAGAGAGAGAGAGAGAGAGAGAGAGAGAGAGAGAGAGAGAGAGAGAGAGAGAGAGAGAGAGAGAGAGAGAGAGAGAGAGAGAGAGAGAGAGAGAGAGAGAGAGAGAGAGAGAGAGAGAGAGAGAGAGAGAGAGAGAGAGAGAGAGAGAGAGAGAGAGAGAGAGAGAGGTGCGCACTGGGCGCAGGACAAGGAACAGGAACGGTTCGTACCCGCTGGCTGAGTTATTGTAACGGTGCGCGCCGGCTGGGCGTATGGGAATGGTTCGAAGATGGCTGGATAGTGGATTTACATAGTGTGCTGGGAAGTGGTGCTGAGTGGCCATGAGAGACATGCGTGGTTTGGTGCTACGCCACAAAACCAGCTTCAACACCTGTGGTCATAATGATAAAGCACAGAATCAGATTGATACATAGTTGCAATGTACATTGCATGACATAATGCGTTGGGACAATAAGAAATTCCGATCAATTTAAAATATTTCTTAAAAATACTTCACAAGAAACCAATTTGCTACAAAGAAAGGAATATACCACTTAAAACCCTTAGATTACGATCACTTTCCGCAATCTGCTATTTCACCAATGTAAGCGGCATAAAATAAGCTCGGCATATTGCATCATATGCAGATTCAACTCCATCAGTGCATTGCCTCATTCCCGGCCGATCAGTGATATAAACGTTCTGCGCCTGAGCACCTCACGCCAAAAGCATGCTTCTCAATCCTCTGAAATTCCACTGAATTCCATTTACGCTCAAATCGATAGTCCTAATACATTTATCGAACGTCTGCACATGACATGCTTTCTGCGGTAACAGGTCGCTCCACTCCTTCAATGAGCCCTACTCATCTCCCAGCTGCCTCCCATCTCTGCTCAGCACAGCGCACAAACTAGCTCTCATATGACCATTATCGCAGTCGCCGGTCGCCAGCGAGCGCCGTGCCTCGGCCCTATGTGGGCCACAACTCTTGGGTAATGATAATGGAATGCTGCCAGATAATGCCGAGACGACCACTTCTGGTTTAGTGGCTGGATGCCAGGCGTCGCCACTCTTTGATCCTTCACGATTATCACAGTCGATCGGGGCGTCTCCACCACTGCATTAGTGCTTCTTATAATGCCATCACGTATCCACGCCCATAGGCAGGGCCAGCTAGTTGTATATAATTAAAATAAAGGTCGCGGTGAATTGTTCTAAGGCGTCACAGCTGGACTAGCTATATGAGCAGCTATTTCCATATACGGAGCTGCCTAACGAATGGTCATAATTGTCTGATTGCTTATCGTACGACTGTCGACTGTAGCGATTCATTTGCATATAGCCATTGCTTTGTCATGCAGGTACGGCCTACAAATCGTTAATGAGGAAGTTATTTGGCGCATCGCACAGTAGGCATTTGGATAGGTTCAGCAATCAATTCACACTGTAAGTGCATGCAGCTGTTCTCCAGTCGCTTGTTTTCACTCATACAAGAGTTTACATTGAAGCGAAAGCGACTTAAATGTGAAAGATTTGAAAGAAACACATTATGTAAGCAGAATGTCTTTTAAAAGTGCATCAGAAAGTCCTCATTTTTTACATATATTATGATTTGTTAGCAGCAGGTCTTACTGCAACCGTATAAGGCATTGCTATTGTTCATTATACATTTATGACTTACTTTCTCGGCAATTTCTTATAAATGACATATCAAAAGGACCATAATCTAAAACATCAAGCCCGGAGTAGGACGAAAGTCTCTGCAATCCCACAACAATCTTACTACATTGCCAACAATAATTAAAAAAAAAAAACTAAACCCAACAGCTGATGTCTGTGCCCGTGACTGACCTGCGATGTCGACCTTTTTCAGGGAGGGCAGCGCTCGCAGCAGCTGACCGTCCAGCTGGATGAGGTCGTTGTTTCTCAGCAGGAGGCGGCGCAGGGCCGGCAGTGGGGTCAGCACGTCCTCAGTGAGCGCCTGAAGTGAGTTCCTGCTCAGGTCGAGCTCAGTGAGCGCCTTCAGGCCAGAGAGGCCGCCGGCCGGCAGCGTCACGATGTGGTTACCGTCCAGGCGGAGCGTGCGCAGTCGCGGCAGACCGGCGAACGCGCGCGCGTCGATGACGTCGATCCTGTTTCCGCTGAGGTCGAGTGATGTGAGGGCGGCGAGCGGGGTCAGCGCTCCCGAGGAGATGGAAGTGAGGTTGTTGTCGGCGAGGGACAGTGTGGTGAGGTCAGCGGGAAGGGCAGAGGTCAGCTGAAAGGTCAGAGGACCTGCCAGGAGGTTGTGGTCCACCGAGAGACGCTCCAGACTGACCAGTGGCCGCAGGGCGCCGTTGGACAGCTGGGTGACATTCAGACGGTTCCCCTCCAGCCACAGAGTCCTCAGCGCTATCAAAGCGGTGAACGCATCAACATCAAGCTTCGAGAGCTCATTTTCGGCGAGGTTCAGTTCAGCGAGACTGCCGAGCGCCGGCAGCGCGTCCGCCTTGACCTGGCGCAGCTGGTTACCACTGAGGTCAAGCCGCTCCAGGCTAGTGAGGCCAGTCAGCGCCGCCGTCGGCACGTCCAGCAACTGATTCTCGCCAAGACCCAGCGCACGCAGCGAGGTCTCCAGACCGGTCAGGAGGTCAGCGGGAAGCGACTGCACCTTCGACCCGGACAGCAGGAGAGCCTGGAGCGACGCGCCCGAGAAGAGACCTCCCGGCAGGGAGGACAGGTCGCGCAGCACGAGGTCCACCAGGGTGACGTCCGGGAGCGTTGGCAGGCGGCCGGTGACAGCGCGCAGCTCGGCAGAGTCTGACAGCTGACAGTGCAGCGCGCCCGGCTGCTGACAGTGACAGCCGACCAGCTGCTGACAGACACCGGCAGCATTGGTGAAGGTGACAGCTGCTTCAGCTGGGCGAGAAGCAGCGGCAGACGCAGCTGCTGCGACTGCGGCTGCGACCACCGCCAGCCACCATCTGTGAAAACAAACATTGAGTATTAGTCTCACTCATATATGCTACTCCCTGCTACAAGCCAGCCATTTATAGGTTATGCACAAAACCCATGCACACATACGCACATGCAAATAAATGCAAATAAGCACGCTAACTGGGATGACCTCAGTTTTCACCGCCGCCGCCGCGGTGGTCCCTGGAGTATGTCAGGGGTGAGTCAGCAAATCTGCACCATATGGGGGCGTGCTGAGGAGGTGAGCTGGGCTGGGCTGGCCGAGTAGGGCCTTCCGCACCCGGCCGCGTCCCGGGCTCGCGTGCACAGCCTTGGATGCACAGATAGAGAATCAAAAAATTGCATACGTCAGTGCATGCAATTCTGGTGCTCAGACCGGCTTAGGGTAATAATCGAAGGGAAATATCAGCGCGGTTGATGAGCGCTTCACAAATGAGGCTTCGGTTCATTGTGATTAAGCTGAGGCGATGCAATTGATTGACATTTAACCCTCGCCCGCACATGGGGGGGGGGGTGGTTGCCACCCCCCCCCAGGCAGTCTTTCTGCTCTGCACTCAACATTTTTAAAGCTAGAAAGCTGATTTTTCGTATAGCTGCTCGTCTATCCTTTCTTGATGTCCACTGAAAATTTCAAGTTTCTGTGGTTTTTGGTTTCGGAGATATGACCTTGTTTTTCAGGTCATGTCATGACCCAAATGGCCAATTCTCAACATCTTGCGTTTGCCATGGGTCTTGTGAGCTTTTGACACCCTGATTTCGGCCTTTTTTGCCAGTCTTACCTCCCACCTATCATGGAACATGTTGTTCGACGATGTACAGGGGTCAAGGTCAGGGTCAAGGTCAACCTAGGTCATCTAAGATAATTGCGTTTTAGGCAAGCTGAATTTACTTTTTGTGAAGTTTTTTGACTGCATTTTTGGTAAAAGCTTCTCAGATCATGATTTCATGTGAAATGGACCCAAAAACGATCGGTGCACACATCAGTATACACACAGACACACACAGACATACAAACACATATAATTGACCTTGACCTAACTTGACCTGAAATGACCTCAGCAGCAAAATTCTGGTCGGATAGTGTGACAAAGAGGTTCTAGCTGGCTTGGCACCAGAAAACAGCATCGTCATCGGTATTTGATAAGCAGCGCACTTGATATCCAACGGTGACCCAAAACAGCAACATTTTTTAGTTTGACCTGACCTGGAAGGTCAATGACTGACCTGAGAAGGTAAAACTGGGTATCATTGGATTCGTCTCTTCCCAAAGAATCTTTTTGGTCTTTACTGCTAAGCTCTATCTCCAACAGGAACGAAATGGCGCGGGGGGGGGGGGGTGGCAACCACCCCCCCCCCATGTGCGTTCTAGGATGGGAAAATGGCATGTGCGGGCGAGGGTTAAGGTTTCTGATGTAGGGCGGCATTATTGTATTGAACCCACATAAGGAGGGATTAGTCAAATGCGTCACTTCAAGAGTGCATTGCAAGATATCACGTCCGCTTCAAGGCATATTTTGGCAGTGGTGCCAACGATAACGCAACTAAAAAGTCAAGTGTGTATGTAGTTCTGCAAAAGTTGTGTGATTCTGACGTAAAAAATAAAAACGAGTCAGGACGCAAGCGTACACTCTTTTATGAGACATGTGCTGTCTGATGTTCTACTAATCTAAACTTCAAATGAAGGTAGGGAGATATTATCTGAGTGTTGCGGAGTACAGCCGTTATTTTTTTCGTTTTGCAACATGTTCCAGTAAACGATTAATCGTATACTCTCGAATAATAATGCTTTTTGCAGCTTCTCTGGCATTTCATAAGGCTCTTCTTAAAAACAGATATCGAAATAATGATTAAATCGCACATTTCTTAGAAACATGTGATTAAAAGAAGCGCATCAAAATTCATCGCCACATTTCCCGTAAATGAACGCCAAACACGCCATCACGTAGCTATGTAGACGGCCGATAGCACAGGCACGAATTATGATATGTTCTACGAACATTCCGCGGCTTATCTTTAGTTTCAGTCGCCAAACCAGGAGCCTGTATGCATAGCGCACGCCAGGTGTAAATTTGTTCTGGCTGATTCATCAAAGCACAAACTTTTTTAGGGAAGTATGTGATCGATGTAACCTATCAATCTTAAATATGGCATTGTTGTACTGGGACATGGTAAATATTCAGAAACGAATTATTCGACACCAGTAATATGTATATGATCGGTAGCTTTCGGGGGCTGCTGCCTCCTTCATCAGCCTGCTTTTTAAAAAGCAGGCTGATGAAGGAGGCAGCAGCCCCCGAAAGCTACCGATCATATACATATTACTGGTGTCGAATAATTCGTTTCTGAATATTAACCTATCAATCATTTTATCAAAGTTCTTTCCCGCCGAGATATCTCAACATGTGCATGCAATCAGGAATGTAGAATGTTAAAATAGCAATCGATCAGCGATATAATCTGAAAATCGAAAACATATCTGATAGGAGTTTTTCTTTGATGCTGGTTATCTCCTTATCTTCATTAAAATCGGCTTTTCTCACTGCTTTTCGAGGCCATCTTGCCATTTTCTTCCATCCCGCATTAAATGGAAATCTTCTCATCATGAACCATGGATTAGCCTAGGCATGTAATGAGAGCACCAAGCCCATCGCTGATAACTGGCCGTGTGGCGTCACGTTTGTTCCAGAGACTGGCCTGTTCTGGTGCGCCGCTGGTCGCCGCCAGTGCGTCGCAGACGTCTCCGGCTCGCGCGCGTCATTAGTGACGTGGTAAGGGACTGGTTTGGTCTATCAGTGGACCATCAGGCACGAGCACTAGCGCGACAAAACATGACCCGCACGCAGAGCTATGGGGACACGGTGCAAGGGACGAGGTCGACCAGTGCTTGGCTAGCGTTGTCAGCGCCGTTTATAAGACTAACACTTCAAGCAAGGCCAGGGTGAGGCGATGATGACTCGTCAAGCGATGAGTTAAATGAAGTTGGGCCAGCTAAGCCCCCAGAAATCGTGATACGTCATTAACGATTCCTCGAAGCGTCTCCAGTTGTGTAACACAGTTTTCAGTGTGTGTATGATAAATGAGATTCGGCTGTCGTGGGATGGAGAAAAACCGATCGGTGAATGTGGTTTCATCATATGACAGAGCTGGTAACGGCGATGCCTCCAGTATCCGAGTCTCTACTTGGATACAAGATGGATAGATACCTGCAGCAGTCAATCTATGACAATTAACGTGCTGTCTGTATCTGAAAACAGATCGGGTGGCCCGGTGCATCTATTGATTTTCTCACAGGACTTCGTTGACGAGCTTGACGTTTGAATGATTTATGACTGAATACGTTTATCATAAGATGAATGCCAAAAGGGAATCTCATGTTGTTACAATGGTGTTTGGTAAGCTGTCTGCTGTTCGGTTTTCAATAAATGCGTGTTAAGTGGCAATAAAACTCAACATATGTAAGCATTTCATGCCTCATGAAAATGCAAACTATAGCCATCTGCTGGCTTACCCATGGCTGTGGAAGCGCGGTAGAAACGTTGCGATACTCTGCTTTGCTCAAGTTCATGCATTTGCTATAAAATATGGAGTAACTACTTTTGTTTCACTTTGTATGCAAATTGCATTATTCACGAGCACTTCGCTTCACTCTGAGAAGCTTGCAGGATGATCTAAGCATACGAGTATCTCTCTTTATTCATATTCCATACCTTCATAGACGTAGCTATATTTTTCGACGGCAATATCACCATTAATCTACAGCTCCACTAGTTTCTGCTTTTGTCTGTGCTATCCAGACCTCAGGCAAGACTCGTGACAGCCACCAAACCCACTCACTTATGCTCAGCGCTCTCTCGTCGAGCGTTACCTGTTGGACACTGCTGGCGCGAGGAATGCGCCCTCTCCGCCGGCGGCTGTGCGTATAATCCTTCCAGGGACCTCGGCCGGTCCGTCCTATACCTCGGCCGGTCCGTCAGGATTTGGCAGCCGGTGTGACACCTTCTGGCAGCCGGTGTGGCAGCGCTCACAATACGTCCCAGCTAATCCGCTTATGTGGCTGATGTGACGGCTGAGGATGGAGAGCAGGCGAGACCGCTACATTCCGGCCGGCTGATTCTGCCCTCTGTGGGTCTGAAACCCGTCCGGCTGAGCCCGGTCCTCTCCGGACTCAGCTGGGAAAATCCTGTTGGTAGGGCGCGAGACGCCACTGCCGAAATCTTCTGCCGACATCGCTCGTTAGAACTGGCTAAGCCTCAACATCGTTTCTTTGACTCTTGGTTTGGCGCTGAAGTCTAATAATTCTGCTCAGGATTTTCGATAAAAAATAACGACATCAATCGAATGATGGTCATAGGTATATTTCTCGGTGTAATAGATATCAAGACATCAGTTGTATATTCGACTTAACAATCATGCATTTATTTGGGTCAAAATAGCTACCAGCATGTGAGCGAATGCGGCTGGAATGTGGCCGAGTCGCCATCACTGCACCTGCAGCACTCCAACCTTTTCCTGATCGGTAAATGTGAAGACCCAGCGACTGATGCCGTGTGTAAGCGCTACTGCATGTCCGACATTGAATCCTGTCTTGCTTCATTGGTAATTCAAACATCAAAGTCAAGGGTTGGCTGGCTTGCAGCGGGCACAAATTTCCTCCCTGAAAGGCTGCTACCACGTCGAGTAATCGCGGCCATCGCGGATTGCGGTTCAGAAACCTGTCATCCAATCAAGCGGCGGCGCTCGGCCCGTGTCAGAGGGGGAGGGGAGGGGGAGGGGGGGGCAGACAGGTAGCCGGTCGGGGCGACAGCAAGGTCGCGTGACCGGCGGCAGGCTCATGTTTCCGGCGACCGTGGGCGGCACAGCGACTTAAATGGGTGCGACATCAGTTGGAGGGGACGGGGCAGGACCGGCTGGTCAACGACTGCTCAGCCCCGCCACCTGCTAAATAAGGGACCTGTGCTGTGCTGCATTTGAAACAATGTACGTTTGCGGTGATTTGATTTCTTATTTC